AGCCAGCACTGTGGGCCAACCAAGGAAACCCAAACATATCATGTTACGTTATCGAGTTACCTCTGTTTTTAAAACATTTTCCTTTTTCTTTTCCTTTCTGGCATAACAATCATAAGTGGAGAAGAAAAAAAATGTAAATGGGACTCTATTGCAGGAAATTTGCTTCCTCAATTTTTAACCACCCCCCCCCCCCCCACAAAAATTAGAGAGCCTATTTCTTTTTCTTTAGGACTCTTCATGCAACATGTTTAGTCCCCTTTTCTTATAATGTACATTGTACAAGTAGTTACTAAATTGCCATTTGCTTTGCACTTTAACAATAACAATTCACTTTAAAAAGACCAGTCAGCCAATAAAAATACAGAAATTTGATAATCCAGAAGAAATGGGCTGCATCAATTTGTTTGGAGTCCCTTGCCACTAAACATCCTCATCCTGTGTATTCAAGGGGAACAAATTCTTGACCTCTTTGGAAGAACGGGAGCAGACTGAGTCAACTGATTGCCCTGCCTCCCTGCATTAAAGACAAAGTCGCATTCTGGCCAGGCTATTTCGGTGTGGTAAAAATGGAATGGAAGCGTGTAAGGAAAGGTTGATGTTGTAGCATAGGAATGTCAGAATCAATTTTTACTGTGAGATTCAGTTGATAATGTAGGGTTTTGGAATTATCAAAATGATATAGAAAATGAATTGACCCAGTCCTGCTGGAAGTAAAATGCACTGTATGCAGAAATGAGTACATGGGACTACACAAACGTTTATCAAGAGACCGAAGAGAATTTGGTCGTAACATTTCTTTTCCTTCAATTTCCTTCTTTGCAGTTGACATTTCAATGATGATACTCTTCGATATTAGCATGAAAATAATGACAAAGCTCACAAATTATTATCTCCCTTTTAGAACTCGACTTCCCCTTTAAGAAGGCCATTAGCTAAGCTTGACCCCTCACTCACCAAAGGCATGCACATGCAAAACCTTGTGACCAAAACTGACCTGGGTAATGGATTATAGTGTTATGATGAAGAGATTTCTAAGAAGGGGAGCAAAATTTGTTGTATCATTTTTTCCAAATAATAAAGTTTACAAGTTGTGGACTCTTGAATTTTTATAATATTGTGAATCAATGATGATTATGAAATGTTTATGTGTACAATCAAGTATGTCTAAAAAACCTTGCAGCACATCTTTCAGTAGTATTTCAAGTAAAATGGCTTTCTCTTTGGTAACGTGGAATATATACACGCCTTAATCAAATGTAGACCTACTGTAAGTGTCTTAAAAATGCAGCCTTCAACTGGCAAGGAAATTATTTTAAAATCACTTTATGTTATAAATAACAAATTTACAACATAAATTAGTAATACACAGCTTGCTGTCTTTGCAGACATTTTCAAAATGCAAAATAGCACTAATACTAATGCACTTTCCCCAGACAGACTTTTGACTTTGTATGATTACTTTTTTGGGGGGGGGGGGGGGCGGAAGGGTTTCGACTGGCAAAACTAAGGTGACCCCATGCAAAGCTTGATGGCTCTATTGCTCATGTTTCCTCGGAGCGGTTGGAGCCTCTTAGCGCTTGCTTCCTCTTTCACCTACTCTCCCACACAAAGCATCTACAGTACAAGGCCGCGGCAAGAAGCCTCGTCATACAAGTATACACAACTACATGTAAGCACCTGCAATTGGGCCTAATAATTACATCATGTACATGTCATCTGTTATTGCTTATGAAATGTTTGTTTCATACTGTCATATTTTGATTTATGATTTAAGTTTAGACATTCAGAAGAGAGTCCATAATCTTATTACTTTCAGAGCCCTAATTTCTTTCATAAATTTATACAGGCCATCTGATGGTCTCTTTCTCCTCCATTTGGAGTCACTTGTGTTCAATAACAGTTACATTAGGTACAGTGCATGCACAGTAGTACTTGTACAGCCCCTTGCTTCATGAGATTTTGAATATTTGTGTTGTGTAGTACTGCTTGTTCATATGCAAAAGGTCATCTGCTCTTACTACATGTATTTACAGGTAGGCTTTAATGTAATACATTGTCGGTACATGTACATGTAGGATGGCTAGCAAATATTTTAATCTTTGTACATTTATGCCTGGATTTACCATCTACCAAACACATATTAAAACTTCTATTTTTTCTAGATGAACGAACAAAAAATATTTGTACTTGTAGGCGACATAATATTAATCATGCAATGCACATGTACACTTGAGAGTTGGCTCTCCAATCCTTGCCTACATGTAGATGTTCATGTACAGAGCACGTTCCACAATATGCAAACAACCCCATAGGCCACGACGCCGCCATCGTAACCCCGTCTGGGTCACACGAGACACACACACGCACTGTAGCAGCACACAGAAGCCCAAGCAAGAGTGTTTACATGGAGTGTGAAGGCATGCGAGGCACTGATTAAAACCAGCACACTCTCCCATTGTCTGTCACCCCTATGCCCCTTTCAGACGCACACCTCTGCAGGTCAGGGGTCAAACAAGGACTGCTGAGGTCAAACCACTCACCAACCCCCCTCTGAACCGTCTCAACAAAGGAAAGACCTGCTGGTGTTTTTCGAGGAATACAGGTTTGTATAGTTTCACTTCCAATGAACTCTAGCAAGGTGTAGGTTTTCCATGCTTTTTTTTTCTTTTTTCCTGAGAACCACTTCCTAATAAATTTTATTGGGAGGGTTTCATCCGCAATGGTTCAGAAGTTTGATTTCCTACATAAGGCAATGACCCCCTTTCCAAGCTACACAGGAACTACTAGAGGATAGAAACTGCGAAATTTGAAACTTTGGAATATCTGTAACGACAGCCATTTAAGCATAAACAAAACTTCACCCAACCAAAAATAACACATTTGTGAAATTACTTTATCTTGTCAATCTTGAAAACAAACAAAAATTTTAGACACCCATAATCTTCTTTTTTTACCGGTACTAAGAAAAAATACAACAACTTAATTCTTGTAAAACTCTTTTTATAAAGAATTTTCATCTTCCGAAAATTTACTGAAATAATAAAGGAATAATAATAATAAGTAAATATTTTTGTACTTGTATAGATAATTTCATTTGAATCAAAAGAAAGAAATAAAAGAAGGCATTTCTTCAATATTGGTAAAAAGTTCATTCAGTTTGAAATCTTTTTGGTACATTTTCCAATTTTCTAACAAGAACTCAAGACTGCATTTATCGTTTACCTGTTCCAATTAAAGGGAAAGTAAGCCACAGGGGGTGACAAAATGAGGTCTGATTTTGAATAATGCCCAGCCAGCAAGCCAGCGAGCGAGCGAGCGACTAAGCCTCGCCATTCACAAACACACAGTAAGTGGGGTCAGGTCGAAGCCTACAGTTTACCTCCTATTCATGATGCAGACAATGAATGGTTCCCCCCTCATTCCTATACACTCCCGTCCCACCTGAATTCTATAGGCTCCTTTTGGTTAGGCAAACAGCTGCCACACGACCTATCTACCCTGCACCACCTGCCGAATTAGATGACCGGCTATTGTGTAAACTCTTTCCTTGAATAACCTGAATAAATGACCACATTTTCAAAGCCTTTTTTTGTATGTTTTTTTCTTGTAAGTTGTATTTTATTAAACAGAGCACTTGGAAACTATACACTTCGCCATAAATCGCTCTAATTCATGTGCAATTATTTTCTTCATTTTGATGTTTTTTTAATCTTTCTGTTTCTTCTATTGATTTGTATTTTTTATTTTATTTTTTGCTGCTGCTTTTCACTATTTGATTATTCTTTAATCTGTTCTTTTTTATACAGCTTTTGTATTCCAACTACAATTACAAACGACTCCCTTGGCCTTGGTAATATCCAACCAATAGAGAAAATATTGAAACCAGGGGGAAACAGAAAAAGGTGGCCACTGTAAACAGGTGACCTTTCTAGTTTCTAGACAGTTTGTATAACTAGTCTACAAAAAGTACAAGGCATAGATCTAGATCTAGATCTAATTATTTTTAGCATCTAGAAAGAGGATACAGATGACTGAGTGTACTGACCATTAATACACAGACACTGAGCAGGGAAAAAATTAATATTTATTTTTCGGGGTATACTTTTCAAGCTTGCCTGCATGAATATAACATTCTAAAAATTTGTTTTGCATTGAACTCTATGCGAATTTATGGGGGCTCTTTTCTGATTTTCGGGGCTCTTTTTGGGGGGCTTTTTGGGGGCATTTCGGGGGCTAATTCGCCCGAGCCCCCATGTATTTTTTTCACTGACACTGAGACATGCATGACAGGCTGCCTTGGCATTTATTTTACAGAGTACCAGGTGCAATGAAGTGCTAGAGCGGCTTAACGAGGGAAGGGTCAAATAGATCATCATTACTCAACAAACAAACTTCTTTGATTAACATTAACAAGTAACAAATTGAGTCTCCAACTTTGACCCACACATAGGTAGGCCTACACATCATGACATGCTCCCGTAGTCCCTACCCCCTCCAATCTCTCTCTCTCTCTCTCTCTCTCCTTTCCTGTTTTCAATTTCAGTTCTGCTCTGTTCACTACGACACTACTAATTACTATGAAGTACGAGTCGTACACATCACCTGATCATTCACAATCAGTTTCACATAGGCTAACCAGGATAAACATTTGAACAAAATAATAATCTTAAATTAATCTATTCTTACAGCTGATCCTTTCATTTAATATCGATATCATCAGTCATCTGGTATGACTTAGACTCTACATGTAAAATAAATAATCAGTTAGGGTCTATTGCAGTTGTGCAACTTATGCTGATCAGCAATTTGCAGAACGGACTCACAACATAACATGTGTACATATTTGTTTGTGTCAAATGAATGGGAATCGATTTGTTGACTCAAAATGTGGAGCCTTGCACATCAAAAATGTCATTCAAATCCTGGTTAATGGTTAATCTAGATTAGGAGAAACATAGAAGTATAAAGGGAATATTCGGAGTTTCAGACTTCATAATTACCTTGCATATGGTGGTAGTTTTTCGACAGTTTAATCTTGAAAACATCGCCCTGTTTGACGACACACGGGCATTTACAATTCCGTTTCTATGAACCCGCGAAAGATAGAATGTCTTCGAACAATGGACTTTCGCGTGTGTTGCGTGCATTCCCCAGCGACGAATTCCTCACGATGTCCGAGCACGTTGTTAGCAAATGTTACCTTATTTTCCACTCTCACGGTACTTGTTTCGTCTACTTCCACTAAAAATCCAAATTGGCGTGCTGTTACTAATACGTTCGTGTCCTTTCAAGATGCTGAGTCCTTATTCCGTGCATTTTCAGGGCAATTTTGCCGAAAAATCTTGTCTTGTTTTGGCCCTGTGTCTCTTCTCTCAGCATTTCGCCATCTAATCAACATGTCTTCTTCGGAATCGATCAGCTGCCAAAGGATGACGTCACGAAGAGTTCATTCGAGAAATAGGAACTGAAGTGTACGGTATTTAGGAGGGGTAATTACTATGCGCCTCTTTTTCAAAACAAAACACTTTCGAAATCATTACGTCACTTACGGGAAATAGACAACAGTTTGTGTGGTATTTCAATGACCATTGTCTTCTAAAACCATGGGCGTTTCTAGAATATTTTTAATGGGGATGAGTTTTATCTGAAGACGCTCTGAGATTATCCATTTTTCCTACAAGGTGATTTTCGGCAGGTGTTTTGAAAAAAGCAAATGTCAAAATAAAAGGAAATTTGGATAGACTCGCCGCCCCCCCCCCCCCAACCCTCCAATCTCTCTTGGATTTAATAAATATTCCCGATTTACATTATTTTGTATCATAGAAATCAATTGATATACTTTTGGTTCGCTAACTTCGCTCTGTAACTTGGTAAGCGTGATAGAAAGAGTAGATTTTCAAACATGTCAAGTGAAAATCAATTTAGCGTAGGAAAAAAAAAAACTTTACTTGATAATAATCTCGGCACATTTGCTTATTTTTCTTTTCATTAGTTTTATTCATAATTGCCCCTTACATTTACTTTCATCTTATTGTGAAGGATTGATCATCAGAAACTGAAAGTGTGATATAGATCAAATTAATTATCAACTGATCCAAAAGGCGGGGGAGGAATGGCTGCTCAAAATAAATTCAGATCTGGAGCATGGAGCACCGATGGATTTTCCCCTGTGAGCAATGCACATGAAAGTTTCAAATGATCTGTCCATTTTACTCCCTTCAAAATGATTTAATATTATAAAGTGCAAAGATTATTTTAACGCCTAATCAAACTGTCTTGCGGATAATGATGGAATGATTTATTGTTTTATTTACTCATTTATTTTATGTGATTTACCCAGGGTAAACCCATTATTGAGTAAATCATTGTGGTGCTTAGGGGCCCTGAAAATAGTACAACAAAAATTACAAACATAAATTTACATTAATACAAAACAACAAATACTACTAGTTAGGCCGTGCAAGAAATATTATGCTTAAAAAAAATGATTTGGAGGTTTAGTCAATTTAGTCAACGGAGTTAATTTGCTGACAGTGATTGAATAAGCATTATGATAATGATTATGTAATCTGATAGTTAATTAGTTATATGGAAAGGGGAAATAAAACATGAATATAATATAATATAAAGCGCTTTGCGAGGGCCTGCGGTCCTGAAAATTAGCTATATAACTTATAAGAACGAATTATTATTATGAACATTTTACAGCAGACGAGCCAAACAATTTGAAACAAGAATCAACTGCCGCTAGACAATTTTAAAAGATCCATGGTTGTACCTATACAATCTTAAAAGCATGGATATATTGGCAAAAACCTCATTTTATTTGGCGTCCAAAACACCACAATACCCTTTTCCAGTTCATTAATTTGCATACCCTAATTCATACGTAAACACAGAATGCGAATATTGTCCCTCCGAATCGGACAAAACTACCTACCCTAAAACGTAGTCTAATCGCCCGGCAACCAATCTAAAAATACCGCCAGTGATATGTGCGTGGTAGGATCCATGTGATCCCGCGGCGGTAGATAACTTCCATTGGCTTCGCATGGGCAGAGGAAAAGATGGGGCCCCCATTTTCCCTCTACGGCGTCCCTCATAATGCAATATAACATCCCTCGTAATACGGGTCATTTGGTTGAATCCACTTTCATTACATAATCGTCATACGTGCGGGGTTTTTCGTCATTTTTCTGCAGTTATCAATATTTATTTCCTTTCCATATGCGATGGAAATGATGGTTTTGGGAAATAAGAACTAATGTTTTGCAATTATGTGTGCATTGTAAGATTAATTCCATCGTCTTCTTTTTAGTGTTCGTATCTTTTCATCACGTTTTGTTGTGTTTTTTGTTTATGATGTTTATTTGTTGTGGGCCTATTTGAATGTTTTCATTACAAGCATATTTTAGCAAAAACTCTCTGGCATGTTCCATAAATCGAGTACTTTTCTATCATAACATGTTACTCATTTTCCTGTAAGTCATCTCATTGCTAAGAAGTTTGAAGCCCCCGCGGTACATTAATGACAAAGAAATTATAATATGTCATTAATTAGTCAATACGGCTGGAGTGTATAGGCCGCCTGCAAATGCCTAAATTTTCAGCCAAATCTTTTTATGTTGATGAAAAGTAATGAAGATGACCACATCATTTAAACTAAACTTTACTCATGCACATGCTCTTGTTTCATAATGAGAAATAAGCAATATAGTATAGTGTTGCATTGCGAAACAGTGACACTTGTTGCATAAGAATGAACGCCCCTTCTTGCATCATTTTTTTAAATCTTGAAGTTAAAGGTCCACTCCAAAAATGATTTGCTTTTAATAGGCGCAGAAAAACAAAAGAAACAGAGCAATTTCTGTTAAAGTAAAATCGGATAACTAATGAGGAAGTTATACATTTTTTTGTTTGAAGTATGAAAAACTATGGAACTTAGAAATCACTACACAAATTGCCAATTTGGTTTTCAGTTTGTGACGTCATTGCCTCACTATTAATTTTATCAATTGTTTTACATAGTTTTATCCCATTACCCTCCCTTTTTATGCCCCGCAACTTGAATTGTATATCATATTGCATGCATGACATTTCACAAAATCTTTTATGTACTTTTTTAGAATTTATACTATTTTCTAAATATTGTCTATTCATAATCATTGATTTTATATAAACTGTTCATCAAAACTAAAACTGTTCATGATTTAACTTTAAAAAATAATCTATTTTAGTGCATCTATAAAAAACATATTCGGCCTACTTTCAATATAATAGTTGCTGGTGTGAGTAAATAAGGATTTCAGTGGGAACATTAGAAATTTATATTATCAATATAGAGGGGGAATAGTGGATAGTGAGGCAATGACGTCACAGACTCATGATTGAGCTTCCAATTTGTCTTGTGATTTTCAAAGTTTTTCATATTATTAAAAATTCATAGTTTTCCGATTTTGCTCAAACTTGTTTGATTGGTTTGTCTGATTTGTCTGTTTCTATTGAAAGTAATTTATTTTTGGAGTATACTTGTTCTTTAATTAATTGCCTGCTGACATTCCGTTCTTAAAATCATATAATTTGATATGCAAGCCTACTTTATTGAGATCCATTATGGATTAGTATATATAGATGTTCATGCTTTTTTTAATGGACGACTTTACTAACACTACTAACCTTTGATTCGTCTAGGATATCTATTTTTATAAAGTTACTGTTGCTTTGTCAGGCATACCTCGTGAAAGCTTATTACGTGATTTTTAGTGACCATTATCAGGCGCGGGTCCAGGAATTTCTTGCCGGAGGGGGCACAGTGTGGTTAAGATATATATATTTTTTTAGTCTCCGACTCAGCCAGCTGCTGAATAAGCGGGTGGGGGGGGGGGGGGGGGGGGGGGGGGGGGGGGGGGGGTAAGAGGACACATATTTTTTTATTTTTTGGGGTCACAACATTTTTAAAGTTGACGTTTTGCTCCGTGGGGGGGGGGGGGGTAAGGTCACCTTTATTATAAAAAAAATAAAAAATGGCTGGGGGGGGGGGGCACAACCCTTTTTTCCAGTACATTTTGGGCGAATTTAGGGCTGATTTTAACATATTTTTTTGGGGCCGGGGGGCACGTGCCCCCTGTGCCCCCCCCCCTGAATCCGCCACTGATTATTTAAAATTAAGTATGCCCAATTGCCCATCGTTCAGTCCCGGCCCCCCCACTCAGTGTTATTTAGGGTACGCATATGCTCGTACCCTCTTTTTAAAAGCACCCCCTATCTGAGGACTGCCAACATTTCCAAACCCCCTTTCGCGGGCTTTTCGCGGGCTTTTCCTGCCTTGGAGACCCCCCTAAATCAGGAAAAATGCTCAATGTACCCCCCTAAATTCGGAATAATTTCTCAGGAGTCCAAAGAGATGAGAGAAAAAAGAAAAACACCCCCTTTTTAAAGAAATCTCAGGGTGGAAAGTCAAATACACCCCTTTTTTTACAATTCTCGGGCCGGACTTTGTCGCACGAAAAATACCCCTTTACCGGACATTTTGGCAACACGCATGCGGTCATTCCGACCTTTGAGTGGGGGGGGGGGCCGGGCGTTCAGTATAACATTTGAATAATAACAAGAGGCCGATAGACGCTTATCAGTCGCCGACCAGTAAAATGATAACGCCATCTACGACTAAAAGCATTATAGCTTTCAAGACCTCAAAATGCAACACATGCACGGTGGCTTTTTTACGATGGCTCCTTCTTTCTCTGTCACTATCTCTCTCTTTCTCTTTTCGCTCTCTATAGTCCCTATCTTTCTCTGTCTCTGTCTCTCTATTTTTTCTGTGTCTCCCCTCTCTCTCTCTCTGTCACCATATCTTTCTCTCTCTCTCTGAAATTATCTGAAACCAATAGCTTTCAAGACCTCAAAATGCAACACACCATGGCTTTGATGGCTCTCTTTCTCCGTCTCTCCCCCCTCTCTCTCTTTCTCTGTCACCCTATATCTTTCTCTCTCTCTCTCTTTCTCTCAAATTATCAGTTACAGATAGCTTTCAAGACCTCAAAATGCAACACACACGATGGCTTTTTAAGATGGCTTTCTCTTTCTCTGTCTCTCTCTCCTTTGCTCTCTGTCTCTCTTTTTGTCTCTCTCTCTATTTGTTCTGTCTCTCTCTCCCTCTCTTTTTCTGTCTCTCTCTTACTCTCTCTCTCTCTCTAAAATTATCTGATACCGTCCACTATACAACTTATATTCTCTTGTTGCAAATAATGAATACCAAAATGATTGTCACGATTTTTTTTTAATTTTTTTTTTTATTTACATTTTCTTTTCTCATTTTCTTTTTTTGACTCTGTTGAACCTACGGTTCAACAAGCCTTGAGAATTTTTTTCAAAAAAATCAGCCTCTCGTAATCACATAAGATTACTTTCTATCTCTGATAACGGGTACCGTAGTTTTGGGGCCTTAGGTCCTGGTCGGGTAGCTAGGCAATGGGTCGTTCATGTACGGGGCGGTACGGTTGTACAGTTCGGCGGTGCTGTTGTGCTAGTACTAAAGGAAATAGAAGGAATAAACAAAACAAAAAATATTTTCGAATTGATTCTTTCTATCCTTTTATTGGTCTAATTTTCTTGTTAAATCTTTCTTTCAATTCAATTCAATTTTATTCAATTCCAATAAAATATAAAAAACAGAATACAATCATGACAGAATAACATTATTATATATCCATCGAGTATTAAAAAAATTAAAAAATTCCTATCGTTATCCCATTTCCTTTCTCTGATCTCTATTTCTCTATCTCTATTCCTCCTTCTTCTCCTCCTCCTCCTTCTCTTTCTTCTCCTCCTCCTCCTCCTCCTCCTCCTCCTCCTCCTCCTCCTCCTCCTCCTCCTCCTCCTCCTCCTCCTCCTCCTCCTCCTCCTCCTCCTCCTCCTCCTCCTCCTCCTCCTCCTCCTCCTCCTCCTCCTCCTCCTCCTCCTCCTCCTCCTCCTCCTCCTCCTCCTCCTCCTCCTCCTCCTCTTCTTCTTCTTGTCTAAACCACCCTCCATCTCTCTTTTCTCTTTTTTGTTTCCCCCCGACCCGCCTATACTAAACCAAAATGTTTCAGTTTAATACAAGGCAGGCATAGAACTCACTTGAGATGACCGTTGGTCTGGGTCAGACTCGTCGGGAGGAATAACCATCCTTGGAGTACGAGTAGCTTTGGATATGTGAGGCAGTGCTGTTGCGCTTGTACTGGATGAAATAAAAGGAATAAAATATATAAGAATTGATTCTCTCTATCCTGTTTTTGTCTAATTTTTGCGTTCAATCTTTTTTTCATTCGTTTTCCCCATTTCCTTTCTCTGATCTCTCTCTCTCTCTCTCTCTCTCTCTATTCCTCCTTCCTTTTTCTCTTCTTCTTTGTGTCTAACTCACCCTCCATCCCTCTTTCCTCTTGTGTCTCCCCCCCCCCCCCCCCCCCGCCTTTAATAAACCAAAATGTTTCAGTTTAAACGGGGCAGACATACAACTCACTTGAGATGACCGTTGGTCGGGGTCGGACATGTGTCGGAGGAATGGTAGCTCTTGGACTGTGAAGTGGTGCTGTTGCGCTTGTACTGGATGAAATAAAAGGAATATAACAAAACAAAACAATATTTTTGAATTGATTCTTTCTATCATGTCTTTGTCTAGTTTTCTTGTTCAATCTCTCTTTCATTCATTATCCCATATCCTCTGTGTGATCTCTCTCTCTCTCTCTGTCACTCTCTCTCTCTCTCTCTATTCCTCCTTCCTTTTCTTATTCTTCTTCTCTTTCTTCTTTTTGTCTAACTCACAACTCGTCCTCCATCTCTCTTTTCTCTTTAATAATAATTTCTCTTTCTGTGTCCCCCCCCCCCCCCATGCCTATACTCAACCAAAATGTTTCAGTTTAAACAGGCAGGCATAGAACTCACTTGAGATGACTGTTGGTCTGGGTCAGACTCGTTGGAGGAATATCCATCCTTGGAGGAATAGTAGCTCTTGGGCCGTGAGATGGTGCTGTTGCGCTTGTACTGGATGAAATAAAAGGAATAAAACAAAACAAAAATATATTAGAATTGATTCTCTCTATCCGGTTTATGTCTAATTTTTGCGTTCAATCTTTTTTTCATTCGTTTTCCTCTTTCCTTTCTCTGATCTCTTTCTCACTCTCCCCCTCTCTCCCCCCTCCCCCCTCTCTCTATCTCTCTCACTCTATTCCTCCTTCATTTTCGCCTCCTCCTTCTTCTCCTCCTCCTCCTTCTCCTTGTTCTTCTTCTTCTTTTCTAACTCACCCTCCATCTCTCTTTACTCTTTTTGTGTCTCCCCCCTCCCCTCCTCCCCCCCCCCTCCCCCATCTATATACTTAACCAAAATGTTTCAGTTTAAACAGGGCAGTCAAAAAAATAAAAACTCACTTGAGATGACTGTTGGTCTGGGTCGGACTCGTCGGAGGAATAACCATCCTTGGAGGAATAGTAGCTCTTGGGCTTTGAGGTGGTGCTGTTGCGCTTGTACTGGATGAAATAAAAGGAATAAAACAAACAAAACAATACTTTTTAATTGATTCTTTCTATCATGTCTTTGTCTAATTTTCTTGTTCAATCTTTCTTTCATTCGTTATCCCGTTTCCTTTCTCTGATCTCTTTCTCACTTTCCCCCTCTCTCCGCCTCTCTCTCTCTCTCTCTCTATTTCTTCTTCCTTTTCTCCTTCTTCTTCTTTTTCTTCTTCTTGTCTAACTCACTCTCTATCTATCTTTTCTCTTTCTGTGTCTTCCTCCCCCCCCCCTATACTTAACCAAAAGGTAACAGTTTAAACAGGGCACACATAGAACTCACTTGGGATACCCGGTGGTCGGAGGAGCAGACGGGTAAAGATAGGTTGCTGGGGGGGTAACTGTTCCTATACGGGTACTGGTCGCTCTGGCGTTGGGGGTTTATTACGACGGTACGGTTGTTCTGTTGGAAGGTGAGGTTGTTCTGTCGTAGGGTGAAGTTGTTCTGTCGGAAGGTGCGGTTGTCCACGTACTAAAGGAAACAGAAGGAATAAAACAAAAACAAAAATATTTTGAATTGATTCTCTCTATCCTGTCTTTGTCGAATTTTCACGTTCGATCTGTCTTTCATTCATTATCCCATATCCTTTCTCTGATCTCTCTCTCTCTCTCTCAATTTCTCCTTTCTTTTCTTATTCTTCTTCTCTTTCTTCTTCTTGTCTAACTCACAACTCACCTTCCATCTCTCTTTTCTCTTTGATAATAATTTCTCTTTCTCTGATCTCTTTCTCTCTCTCTGATCTCTCTCTCTCTCTCTCTCAATTCCTCCTTCCTTTTCTTATTCTTCTTCTCTTTCTTCTTCTTGTCCGACTCACAACTCACCTTCCATCTCTCTTTTCACTTTAATAATAATTTCTCTTTCTCTGATCTCTTTCTCTCTCTCTGATCTCTCTCTCAATTCCTCCTTCCCTTTCTTCTTCTCCTTCTCTTTCTTCTTCTTGTCTAACTCACAACTCACCTTCCATCTCTCTTTTCTCTTTGATAATAATTTCTCTTTCTCTGATCTCTTTCTCTCTCTCTGTCACTCTCTCTCTCTCTCTCTATTCCTCCTTTCTTTTCTTATTCTTCTTCTCTTTCTTCTTTTTGTCTAACTCACAACTCGTCCTCCATCTCTCTTTTCTCTTTAATAATAATTTCTCTTTCTGTGTCCCCCCCCCCCCCCCATGCCTATACTCAACCAAAATGTTTCAGTTTAAACAGGCAGGCATAGAACTCACTTGAGATGACTGTTGGTCTGGGTCAGACTCGTCGGAGGAATATCCATCCTTGGAGGAATAGTAGCTCTTGGGCCGTGAGATGGTGCTGTTGCGCTTGTACTGGATGAAATAAAAGGAATAAAACAAAACAAAAAATATATTAGAATTGATTCTCTCTATCCTGTTTATGTCTAATTTTTGCGTTCAATCTTTTTTTCATTCGTTTTCGTCTTTCCTTTCTCTGATCTGTTTCTCACTCTCCCCCTCTCTCCCCCCTCCCCCCCCCCCCCCCCTCTCTCTCTCTCTCTATCTCTCTCACTCTATTCCTCCTTCATTTTCGCCTCCTCCTTCTTCTCCTCCTCCTCCTTCTCCTTGTTCTTCTTCTTCTTTTCTAACTCACCCACCATCTCTCTTTACTCTTTTTGTGTCTCCCCCCTCCCCTCCCCCCCCCCCCCCCTCCCCCATCTATATACTTAACCAAAATGTTTCAGTTTAAACAGGGCAGTCAAAAAAAATAAAAACTCACTTGAGATGACTGTTGGTCTGGGTCGGACTCGTCGGAGGAATAACCATCCTTGGAGGAATAATAGCTCTTGAGCTTTGAGGTGGTGCTGTTGCGCTTGTACTGGATGAAATGAAAGGAATATAACAAAACAAAACAATACTTTTTAATTGATTCTTTCTATCCTGTCTTTGTCTAATTTTCTTGTTCAATCTTTCTTTCATTCGTTATCCCATTTCCTTTCTCTGATCTCTTTCTTACTTTCCCGCTCTATCCGCCTCTCTCTCTCTCTCTCTCTATTTCTTCTTCCTTTTCTCCTTCTTCTTCTTTTTCTTCTTCTTGTCTAACTCACTCTCTATCTATCTTTTCTCTTTCTGTGTCTTCCTCCCCCCCCCCCCTATACTTAACCAAAAGGTAACAGTTTAAACAGGGCACACATAGAACTCACTTGGGATACCCGGTGGTCGGAGGAGCAGACGGGTAAAGATAGGTTGCTGGGGGGGTAACTGTTCCTATACGGGTACTGGTCGCTCTGGCGTTGGGGGTTTATTACGACGGTACGATTGTTCTGTCGGAAGGTGAGGTTGTTCTGTCGTAAGGTGAAGTTGTTCTGTCGGAAGGTGCGGTTGTCCACGGACTAAAGGAAATAGAAGGAATAAAACAAAACATATATTATTTTGAATTGATTCTCTCTATCCTGTTTTTGTCTAATTTTCGCGTTCGATCTTTTTTCAATCGTTATCCCATTTCTTTTATCTGTCTTTCTCTTTCTATCTCTCTCTCTCTCTCTCTTCCTTCTTTTTCTTCTTCTTGTCTTACTCACTCTCTATCTCTTTTTTCTCTTTTTGCATCTTTTCCTCCCCCCTAACAATTACAAACATGTGTGATTACATTCATATGAAAGAAACAGTGTTTCTCTATCAGCCACAGCTGTATTTTTCTTAATTCTAAATGTATTCATTTCAAGTATTCCTTGTTATAGTAGGGACTTTTAGATTTGCGTGGACTGATACGTGTGACGTCCATTCAAGACAGTGCATTAAAAGGACGTCGATCGTAGCAATCCACATTGTCTTCGTGCAAATCTAAAAGTCCCTAATACCATGTCAGAGACGCCAAGTTCAAAGATCGGCAATGCGTGACATTTTCATGATTCGGCGCGTGCGAGGGTATAACACACTTATAAGGTATAGCGTTTTTTTCAAAATCTAGCGCGCGCGTCATGCGTAAGAGCATTTTCAGATCCTCGAAATGCGTGATGTCACGCCTTTTGCGTGATACTTGGTAGCTCTGCCATGTTGCTGATTACAACAACAAGAAACAACCAAATTGACAAGATTTTCACATGCCATATTTTATTCCCTATAGAAATCTTTTTCTTAGATTAGGCAATGATCATGTCATGCTCGAACAAATGCATAAGGCTGTTGAAATTGCTCTACGTTAATTAACTTTTTTGAAAGTCTTTGCGATCATTTTAAACAAACAAAGACTACTACTACTACTACTACTAATAATAATACAGTTCTTATGGAGAGCATTATACCCTTGAAAAGGGTATCAACATAGATCTAAGTAATAAATGATTCATAATAACACACTTGGGTCTAAATAAATGAATAACTAAACTTACATAATTTACTGTGGGTGCTGGGGGCTGCTGACTGCTTGCACCAGCATCGTATAGCAATTAAACCTAGCGCTCCTACCGCTCCTACCTTGAGTGCAGTTGTCAAGCCTGACTCAGCTTCGTCCTCATCAGGAGGAGGCTGCTTTTGCCGTCCACTCTAGATTAAGAAATGGAATTGGTAGAGAAATGTTCCATATCATAAAGAATACAAATAACTTATAATAGCTACTAAATGTACTTCAGATACATGCTGCATTTAGCTAGGGGAGCACAGCTGACCCATGTCCCCCTTTAAAACCCAATCGGCATCCCATAAGTACAGAAAACAAATACCTGTCTTGTGTTTTATCCTCCCCTTTCGCAAAGGATAAATCCTGCTCCCTACCCTCCCTGGCCCAACTCCTAGAAAAACACTTTAATTTATTTTTCTTCATTAAGGGGAATTGACCCTTAATACATACATGTATATAGAAAAGGGAAAATCAGAGATATAAATTGTGGCACGTTTAAGATAAGTCGAACAAGGAAAATGTATTTTTATTTAAATCTGAAGTTTGAAAGTCAAGTTCACATAATGTTAAAAATATCCCATATATAGACCTATATAGATCTAGATCTAGAAATAGAATAGATCTAGATCTAGAATAGGTCTAGACCTAGACCGAAAACTTCAGTCTCTCTAATCGTCGGTTGTTCCACTGAGACTACGTCTGGCTCCACTTGACCTCCGATTATAGAGACTGAAGATTGTCCTATCGGGACTGTACGGAACCAATGGTTCGGTTCGGCAGGACCGCGATGAATGAGATATGCTACGAGGTTTTCACTCTTTACATCCTCATACATGCTGCAATATGACAATAATTAGAGTCTAATTAAAAATAACATATACAGTGTGAGTCAAAAAAACTTTACACCTAGGAAATTACTAATAATTTAAAAAATAATTTATGAACAGTAAAGTATTATACATCATATGAAAGAGTGTTTTATCCTGAATCGTTTGGTACCATTTTTGGGTGGTATGTGTTCACGCTTGGATGAACAGGAGGTATTGTTTGCGAGAGTGCAAAAATCGAATTGCGCCAAAGTATTAAAGTGAGAGAATGAATTGAATGTATGAAATGAGATGCATTGCAGATGCTTTTTTCAGTAGCAAAGTCACACACACACACACACGCACACGCACATATGAAACACACTCACTAGCACACCCACCCACACACATGCGCACACACACAAACATATGACAATGGTGCTCATTTGGAGTAAAATACGCATGTACAAACAAAAAACATTCTGTTTCAATATGCTTTGTCAAACTTTATTTTTTACTTGATCTTCAAATTGTTAACGATCATCATAATTATGATGATAATGTTAATTCAAATGCTTATCATCATGGATCCTTTGAAGCTTCATTTGTGACCAGCAAGTAACTGTCCGTTCATCTACTCCTCGACATGACCTCCGTCCCTTTCGATGCACTTTCTAGCGCGATGGAATTGTTTCTCCCAAAGGACTCAGTCAGTCTGCATCTAAATTTGCTATGCGAGTGTGTGTGGGTGTGTGTGCGTGTGTGTGTGTATGTGCGAGTGTGTGCGTGTGTTTGTGTGACTTATTGAGTGTGACTCTGTGTGTGTTTTGATATGTGTGACATGATTAATTTTGGTAGGGATGTTATTTTGATCTGCAAAGACCAAATTAATACCGAAATCCCAATTGTTTTATTCAAACATCACATAAGCATTATTTGGCGCAAGTCGATTTTTGCACTCTCGCAAACAATGCCTCCTATTTATCCAAGCGTGAACACATACCACCCAAAATGGTACCAAATGATTTGGGATGAAACACTCTTTCATATGGTGTATAATAATTTACTTTTCATAAATGATTCTTAAAATTATTAGCATTTTTCTAGGTGTAAAGTTTTTTTTTGACTCACACTGTATATAGCTTATTTGACTTACGATAGCTTGCTCATTTAGATCCTAAATTAATGATTAATCCGAGAAAGTCTCGTCGTCAACATTATCCGTCTTGGTTTTAGTTGATGAATATTAATTTTTTCTTTTCTTTTCGAACGTCCAATAGCTACCGTAGCTACATACGAGTCGGCCTGGCTTGACCAACGAACTCCCACGAAACGAGTGCTCTGATTGGCCATTGGCTATGTTTTGGTAGGTGGACCCGGAAATATATCAGCCGCCGGGTAATATTTCGAATGCATGAACGTACTGCTTCGCGGTTCTGAGGTACAAATTGGATAATTCATATAAGTAAGTCCGTAAATTATTTATTTAATATTAAGTTATCAAATTTTGAAAACTGTAATCAGGACAAATGACATACCGACCTAATTTACATCTGATTTAGAAATCAGAAAATTAGATCTAAATAAAGAAAATCGGGGGAGAAATGTCGGAAACGAAAAGCTGTTACGCTGTGGCTCTAATTTACCCGCACGGTACGAGATCTCTGGGTTGCCATCTGTATTGGGGAATGACAACAAATGTCAGTTTTATTAAAGAAATGACCCAAATCAGATGGTTATTGCTGTCTAGTCTAGACCTAGATCTAGATATTTTTTCCATTTTTTGTGCAGGCCAAAATTCTTTATTTTAAAGCATCTTTTTCCCACAGAAAATGTCCATCTCATCATGACATTTGATTGAAACAAATTAAAGGCCGATAGGCGATACTCTGTTTGATTTGAGAAGACTCTAGAGCCTATACAAAATAAATGGGAGATAACTCCTAATAATTAATAATCATAAAGACAACACAGTCACAGTAACACACATCATGACTGCATTGCCAAATTGCCCCATTCTGCTCAAAGGCTACTCATATAGCTTAAATAATAATCAACGAATAGTTGAAAGTGTGTGTGGGAGGGGGGCGGGGCAACTGCCCATACCCACATTTTCTGAAACATCACAGAAGTAGGCTAGATCTAGGCTACTCATCTCAGCACTCATGATCTCCAAATGCGGTAACTCCAGGCAGCTCCGACACGGGCGCCGCGCCGCAGTCCGACGCCTGCGGCGCCGGTGTCGGAGCTTCCTGGAGTTACAAATGCGGGAGGGTTGACAGCCCTGCAAAATACGATTAGTCTAGATCTACTATATAAATTTGGTCGAAACACATGTAAAACAAGCAAAATCTCAAAGTTAGATATACAAGGAGTGATCTTACTTACGGACATGATGTAGGCCTAACAGCTTTATTTCTAATTTATATATATTTTTTCTCGATAAATTGTTTCTTGTGACGTTGTTCTTGTGTAGTAAACAATTGGTTCACAGCTCACAGATCGTGTATGTTAAATGTATCGCACCTCCAGTTAAAAACACCTCCAGTTAAAATTCCCTAGTGGAATGTTCCGGAGGAATCCAATCCAAGATCCAAGTATGTACGTACGCGTATGGGTTCCATGTCAAGTCGCCCAATGTCAGCCCGCCCCTTACAAAGTCGCCCCCAATTGGTCATGTCGCCTCCCGATTTTTTTTGCCGATTTTGGGATTCTTGGTCAGCTCGCCCCCACTTTTTTGGTCATCTCGCCCCCTAATTTGTTGTTTTAATTTGATGTATTTTACAAGTTCAAAGTCAAGCCATTTTTAGTTCCTTGTATCTCAGTACTATGTTATTACTTTGTTATCCCTAAATATTCAAAATTTTCCTCGTAACTGCATATTTTCGAGGATATTTGCATCTAAGTTTCCACCAGCTTTACGTACTAGTACTACCACATCGCTCGTTCTGACTCCACTGACCACTGGCTTAGCTCTAGTGACGGAGCTTACGGATGTAAAATAAACTTGAATACAACCATATTTTCTGTATTTGTAATGAAAGAAAGTGTTCTCACAGTGAAAAGTTGTTAAAAGTTGAATTTTGAAACGGTTACATTTCAACTCTTAGACTATTGAATTATTCATTGGGAAGTCAGCGCTGCTGCGACCTAGCCTGCGCCTGCATGTACTGGCCGTACAACCGCCCACTCGCACGGGCGTTATTTTTGTAAACAACACACCCCAAATCCAACACAGACAGACGAGCGAAGCTACTTATTTGCATCTGGCCCATTCTAGGATTAATGTAGGCCTATAAACTTGTTTCTATGTATGTGTTTTGACAGTATTTGATAGGTAATGTATGGCAATAAAATTCATTAAAATGTAAGAAATTCTTTTATGGTAAGATTGGGTTATCAAGTTATCATAGATTTTTTGTAATTAACAACAAAAGCTAACAGTATACACCACAACGCTGTTAACAGTAACACAGACATGCAACAACATGAGCGAAGGTTTTTTTCAATACAGCTTCTTATTTGCATCTGGGATTAATACATTTAATTTATGCATACAATTTGTGTGTTTATGTATGTGTTTTGACAGTATTTGATAGCATACTGTCTTCTGTTTGGCGATTTTCGAAAGCACGTTTCGACATACTCCTCAATAAGAATTGTTAATCATATAACGCATAGCCAGATTTAACCCTATCTAAAATATTCATTCAAAGATATTACAATCATGCAAAGATAAAGGAATAAACAAGAGGATGAGATTAAGTATTGTCACAGACGAAAAATGATAGGGGAAATGTTTGCTTCTCTCTCGCTCGCTCGCTCTCTCAACGCCATTTTCCATCTTTATCTCTCGTATACTGCTTTTTGTTCCGCTTTTTGTTTTTATACCGAAATTATTTCTTCCGATTTTGAGAAAAAATATTATACAATAATTTTTAAATGAAGAAGAAAAGAAACCCGGAACGAACGGCTGATATCGAAATGAGAAGAATATTACTGTACAATAATAAATTATTATAAAGTAAAAGTTAGGATATATAAAAGCATCTCTTTTGCATACAATTAATATGAAAAAATATTTGTTGACAGTACTAATATACGTCGGACGAAGGAGATAACTCCTTGGTCGGACATTATAATTTAGCGAAAAGATATAAACAAACAAAAAGAAAGAAACCAAAGAAACATTCGGAAGGGGGAGGGGGGGGGGGAGGGGGGGGGGGTGATCGGAGAGAGAACTAGCATAATAATAAATACAGTACAGACTATACGTCCAACTTTCTAACCCTCCCCCCCCCCCCCCCACGCTCTCTCTTTCTTTCTCACTCTGTCTCTCTCTCTCTGTCTATCAATGTTGATCACAGAAAAATGTCACAGAAAATATGATTATGAAAAATGATTGTTTCTCTCTCTTTTTTCTCCATCTATCTCTCGCTCGCTTTCTCTGTCTGTCTCTCTCTCTGTCTATCTGCCAATGTTGTTTCACCATTTGCTTGTATGCCGGCGACATTCCTTCTTTGAGCTTAATTATTATTATAACATTATCCCTGATGATGTACAAAATTATATATACCGTATATTTATTATAGGGAACGAATAGAAAACGAGCGGCTGATAATGTCGAAAAGGGAAGAATGTATACTGTACAATAATAATATACAAAGTCAAAGTTTGAATGTAAATCTCTGTTGCATCAAATTGATATTAAAAAAATGTTTATTAATATTGACGGTACTACTATACGTCGGACATTGTACTTTAGCGAAACGATATAATCAAACGAAAAAGAGACGGACTAAAGAACAAAATCAGAGCTTGGGGGGGGGGGGATCGGAGTGACAAAGACAAAAATCATAATAATAAACACAGTACAGACTACGTCCAACTTTCTATCTCTCACCCCCCCCCCCCCCCCCTCTCTCTCTCTCTCTCTGTCGCCCTATTTCTCTCTCTCCCTCTATCTGTCAATGTCGTTTTCCATGTTCATCTTTCATAATGTTTTCTATTCCTCCATTTGCTTGTACGCCGGCAGCATCCCTTCCTTGAGATTAATTATTATAACATATCCCTGATGATGTGCATGCACAGTATACCTTATATTTATTTTAGGAAACGTTATATAGAAAACGAGTGGCTGATAATGTCGAAATGAGAAGAATATTACTGTATACATGTACATTTCGAGTATATTATAATTGGACAAAATATGTATGATACTTATAATGCTTTTAAAACTGTCGTATGACATTTAACTGAATAATGACTGCCACCAGTTAAAAGCTGAGATGTTATTCTTTACTCTCATTACATATGTCACATGCCGAAGCAAGTTGTGTGGGTCTTACTGTTTCAAATTGAATTTAGAGCTGAAACCGGCAAGTACGGGGTTTATCCGGGCATTTCGAGTATAATTATAATTGGACAAAATGCATTTTGTAATTTGAAGGTAATTAAAACTGTGTTATGACATTTTAACTGAATAATGACTGCCACCAATTTCATAGAGGGAAGAAAGTGAGCAATGCCATAAGAGAGTATCCACAAGCTATATAGGATAATAAGGATTGTATAGATTGGCTTTCTTAGCTTTTCTCGAGTATATTTTGTACACGCAAGCAAATTAGAGCATTTAAGATCCCTTTTTTATCCCCGGATTTGCGTTTCTACTACAAGACCCACACTAGAACGTGTCGTCATGATAAAAGCGCCGAAACAATAATATCGAAACATTGAGAGGCTTTACCGCTTTCAATGAGATCAACCCTCATTATACGACAAAAGCGTCACTGCAGGGGCGTTGCTAAGGGGGGGGGGGGCGGGGAGGGGCGGGGTGCGATACCCCAACCTGCAGGATATTGTCGGTAAACTTGCCCTGCTGTCGGGAAAAATGAGAAAAGGGGGAGGGGAAAAATGAGAGGGAAAGGGAGGAAAAGAACGAAATAGAGAACGAGCGGCTGATAATGTCGAAATGAGAAGAATATTACTGTACAATACTTATAAAAAGTAAAACTTTTTAATGTAAATCTCTGTTTGAATCAAAATAAAATGAAACGTTTATTACATTATACTTAAGCACAAACTAGAAGAAGGTGGACAACATAAAAAGAGAAAGAATGAAACTTTCTCTTTTATTTACAAACATAATTTATAAATAGCATAAAGAATATTACTGTAATATTATAAACAGTAAAACTTTTGAATGTAAATCTCTGTTGCATCAAACTGATATCTAAACGAAAAATGTTTATTATGCTTCATTGACGGTATACGTCGGACATTATTATAAACAAACAAAAAAAAGAGAAAAACAAAATCTGAGCTGGGGGGGGGGGGGGGGGGCCGGGGAGTCGGTGAGAAAAATATCATAATAATAAATACAGTACAGACTGCGTCCAATTTACCCGCCACCCTCCTCCCCTTCTCTCTCCCTCTCTCTGTCTATGTCCATCTTCATCTTTCATAATGTTGTCTATTCCGCCATTTGCTTGTATGCCGGGCATCATCCCTTCCTTGAGATTAATTATCATAACATATTCCTGATGTTATACGTCGGACATTATACTTTAGCGAAAAGATATGATCAAACCAACAGAGACTAACTAAAGAACAAATTCAGAGGCACTGGGGGAGGGGGGGGGGGTGATCGGAGAGACAAATATAATAAATACAGTATACAGGCTACGTCCAAATTTCTACCCCCCCCCCTCACATAATTATACCTTATATTTAGTTTAGGGAACGAAATAGAGAACAAGCGGCTGATAATGTCGAAATGAGAAGAATATTACTGTATACAATACTTATATTATAACAAATAAACTTTTGAATGTAAATCTCATGTTGCATCAAAATAAAATGAAACGTTTATTAAATTATACTTAAGCACAAAAGAGTTATCTTGAAGAAGGTGGACAACAATATAACAGAAAGAATGAAACTTTCTCTTATATTTACAAACATATAAATAGCATAAATAGCCTGATTCTGACCGCTGCACTAGCGCACTGCCTAGGGGGCGACTGTGTTTAGGAGGCGACTGTGTATAGGAGGCGACTCGACCACACAATTTGGGGGCGACTACGTTAGGAGGCGACTGCGTATAGGAGGCGACTGTGTATAGGAGGAGACCGGCTTGGGGGCGACCTGACCAGACACCGGCATGGT